ATGAGCAAATGAATCCATTTCTCAAATTTAAAAAAAACACAAATCGATTGACATGAGAATGCTAGTAATTTACTGATAGTTAGTGTTCATCTTCTTTGTTTTTGCAGTCAAGACGATAGGGGAGCACGCCACGTGGCTTCATTTCAATATAATTGAAACTAATCAACAAGAATCATTCCATTCAGATAATCCAATGACTTCATTCTATCGAATCCCCTTTCACTGGCTCGGTTTTTCGGGGATAAAACAAAATTGATCATCCAAATTAGATACGGTTCTTTATCAAAGCTGAATTCAGCGATCCCGTCTCCGTTACTCTGATCAAACAGTTTCATCATTTGTCGACAGGAAAATCAAAAATTTTGCTTCCAGATTTGAATTTTTCAAGAATGACTGTTTTGAAAGAGCATCAGTCTTGCGTTTGTTTACTTCAGCTCTTGTCGTCTGTCTACACAAGTCCCAACCAGCTAGATGTCAAAACATTACCTTCGTCGAGTTGTACTGTTAAGTTTCTTGATCCTCTGGTTTCTTAGTTTGCTGTATTGATATTTTCCGGATCCAGCCATATTATTTGCAACAGCTACGTTTGGGGACAAAAAAGTTCTGCTTATCAGATCCCTGTCGACCCAGAAAAAAATCCGCAAGGAGTTAGGAGGCTGGAATTGCCATAGTTATCACTTAAAGTCAAAAAGTATGCATTCTCTTTGAAAAGGATTATTGGTAGGGAATTCCAAAGAATCGGAAAAATAGCACTTGCACGTCAACTTTCAACAATAAGAGCCTAACAATATCGAAAGTTCATAGATTTTAAAGAAGCGCAGGTGAGCAAACCTCACCATCAACTTTTTCTTTTCTTGAAAACTCGAAATGGATTACCGTAGAATTAGGTCAGACGCATCCTAATAAAACCCACCCCGATTGACTGAACTTGTACCGGCCTAGTCTGTGACACATCCTGTTAAGCTGTAAAGCATCTGAAGCATGATTAATTCTTCGAAGCTCCAGTGTTCTCACACATGTTTCGGCTGTTTCCTCCAGGCAGTTTTCAGAGAGCGACTGATTTGAAATCCGCTTATAATTGACCTTTGACTCCCCAAAAGTCCGTTTCGTTTAAACAGCAAACTTGACGCTATATTGTGAGGTCAGTGACAGTGTAATATGGCGAAACCTCTGCTGAAAGACTGCATTACAGAACCTTTTGAAGGACGACCACGTGGGTCCGTGGTCACATTTTTTGTATATATGGTGACATTTCTTGTTTATGTAATATGGATCCAAATAATATATCATGTGGAATGTGATTTTAAGCTTCGAGTGGGTGACATCCATGTTCAAAGGCAGAGTGACCGTAGAGTGAAAAACCGTATCTCAATACGAAACAATATTGCACCTGAATCTGAAGTTAAGTGAAATGGCGCTTAAATAGCCATATCTGAATTCAGTGGGAAAGTTTCAAGTATGAATAGCTTTATTTGGACTGAAACTGTACCCCAGAAACCCGATTATAATGTTGCTGGGAGTAAAGATAAAATTGCTTTAGGAGCTGAAAATCCAGAGAGGAAATTCTCGCATGCGCATCCAATCCAGATACGGAAAGTACGCTACCAGAACGTCGGACTTGGTCGCCTTCAACCACGGAAACATTACCCTCGCAAATTCTGAGTTTTTTTTATTTATTTTTCAGCAGAAGAGTTCCTGAAATTTTGTGCTGGAAGACTGTAGAGTGGTGTAGCGAAAAAACAGCCATGAGCGGACATTATGATCACCGATTTGTAATGAGTCTGGCAATAAACCTTCTAATCCGCACATTAATTTTGTTTTGATGGAAGATTCTACTGAATTTCAGCTAAATGTGCTACACTAGGCCACTTCATACCTCTTTTGATACCATGTTCTAGATACTATCCTCGTGATACTAATGGTCGTGATGGAACACACTACTCATAAGGTCGTCAAAGAGTTGTCAGAAATCTTATGAGTAATGTGTTGCGTTTGACGCAACATTCCTCGGCCTTACCTATAGAGTACGAGTAAGTTTCTAGTGATATATTCCACTCTAGTTTTGTGGAATCGCATTGCTGCATTATTTCACCGTAGTGCAATGTTTTTTTTTGCTGTGGAACTCCAACCCTCCCGTCTGTTCCAAGATGACAACGTAGAGATTATGTACTGGCCTTAAGTCAGACATTTTTTATGACGGACTCAAAGCTGTGGAATTCATGATGCAGAAGTAGGAGGTTCGTCTTGATTAAACTCCAAAGCTTCACCAAGCAACTTAATAAACAGACGGAACATCAGTTGCTATTGAGCTAATTTCGTCCTGTTGGTAGCTAATTTGAATTTTGAATGACAGCACATACTACTGCAGACCATTAAACACTACTCTAAAGGTTTCTTTGGAGAGCACCAAAAGGAATAGAACGAGCGGAAAAATATCAAAATTCCTCAAACAAGCTAACGTTAGTCTAAATTTTGATGATCCTCAAAAACAGAAACTTCTGCTATAAAATGTGAGATGGAAAGCAAGGTAAAAACTTGTCAATTGGCGTTCAGTTATCAAAGATTCTTGCTTTTTCCGGATGAAACTACTCATAAGATTGCTGAGAACTATTTGGATGCCCACGACCGGTTTCACTCTCCTTGAGACTCACCATGTAGGCTCAATCCTCGAGTTTCCGTCAACCTTATGTTCTGCTTGGACCCATATTGTACGAAATTTGCAGACCAATTTGTTTTCAACGGAAGGCTCGTCTGAGTCCAAGCTGGATCTCGTGTTTATGATGATCTTCAGCTGAATGTCATGAAGCCTCAGTCTCTTAGAATAGTATAGTATGACTTTTATCCTTGTTCTTGGTCACGGGACGTTGCAATGTTGGTCCGTTGTCTTCATCCCACAATTGATTTACACTGTTCCCGGTAGCAGTAATTTTATGTTCGGTTGTCCCACTAATGTTCACGAAAGCCTTTCTCATTGCCTTGTATTTGTACTTACCGTTTTTGGATCCCGCTGGCTGTACACTCATAAAGCTTAGATCGCCTGCAGGATGGGTTTCAGTCTTTGGCAATCGAAACGGCAGTAGTTGTTGAACTAATCTCGTCCTGTGCTACTCAAACGAATCAAACGGAAACTCTGGAGCTGATGTAAATAAGCCAATTCAAGTGAATGTAAAAGCAGTGGTCTTCAGCTTAGCAGCTGATGGTAACATGATTTAACACAACGGACGCCTAAAGAATTGGGTTAGCTTTTACGCGAACATTCGGTGTGTTGACTGAAAACTGTAAGCAATCGCAGGCATCGTTGCCACATTCACACGCTGGTTGATTTGTTCAGTTGGATTACAGACGTGAGCAACGATTTTTGTACATCAAAGGTGCTCGAATAACACGTATGTGTGAGATTTGTGCAGACTAATTACAGTGGTTGGCACGTCCGATTCCCGATAGCAACACAAAGCTGCAATGGGAAAAGGTTTTGTAAAAGCTTCCAAGTACCGATAGTAGATGGGTCATGATAACTAATGCTGGTATTGAGGTATTATTCCAACAATATACAGTGGTCTGCCTGAGTGAACAGAGTGAAGTCAGAGTGTGACTGTAATCACATCATATTTCCTGTCCGAGGCTTCAATAATCCGTTTGTAGCAGCTAGCATAAACAGGCTGAGATAAAAATGTGTTCCCATGGATGTACCTGATTTTATTCTTGAAGGTGGGATTTCAGTAGATTTAAGGCTTTAGAACCCTTTCATTGAGCGTAACAAGCCAAGCAAGGCGAAAACCATTGAAATGAAGATGAAAGATCATAGAAATACACTCATTTGCAAACTAATTTGGTCTTGTGAGAGGTTCACATGGAACCCAGCTGAGTCTCTCGTTTATGATGTCTATAGGCGACTGGATGTGCTGCACCAGGACGCCTCATGTTTCAGTCGCTACGACTTTCGAGATATCGTGATACATGTATGTTCGTGATACACTACTCATAAGATTGCTGAAAACTTTTCTGCTGGGTTACGGGTTAGTCTCTCGCAAAACCAAATTAGTTTGCAAGCGAGTATATTTCGCTAATTTTGTGCAATTTAGTTTCAGTTAAAGCATAAGGTTGACGGAAACTCGGAGACTGCGCTTACCTGGTGAGACCCAATAAGAGCGAAAGCGGTCGTGGGCTGTCGAAGAATTTTCAGCAACCTTGTGAGTAGTGCATTGCGAAGACGAAAGATACCCAGATTTGTTGTTTTTCTTATACCGAACAGGCTGCACTTTTGACAGAATTGAGCATTTCTTGGTTGAACAATCATGAAGAATCTCTTGGACCTGTTATAGCTTGCCTTATATTACCCGGATTTTAAGTCAAATGTGGTTCGCACTAAATAGCCTGTACTTTTGATCATCAATCCAGCTATAGATGTCTTGTGGTTGTGAACACATTAGTGGCTCATCTTTGGACGTCATAAGGCAGGGTAATCAAGCCGGTGCCACTGGTGTGATTGCACCGGAGTTGGAAATTCAGTACCACCAAGGATTCGCCCTGTTGTTTGGCCACAGTCTAGTGCTTACAACTTTGATTTCGGACAAACCGTATAACTGCAAAGGGACGTGAAAAGGTCTGTTCAAGGGTGCAACTACCCGCAAATTTTTTGAGGAAAAATATACTCTGCCGCCAACTCACGAGCCTGCTTTATAGCCAGTGTTGTGACTGCAGACTTATGAGTGCTGGCTGATTATGTTTTCTATCGAGATAAAACAAAGGGGAACTCGAAAGCCCCAGCTCGGTATCGAAAGAGTTATTAGTCCATGGCGTGGGGTATGGCAAAGTACCTATCCGAAAGACAACATCGGAGCCTCTGAATCTTGGATTAGAAGCCCACCCAACAAATCTGCGACAGGATCGTAGCCGTACGACGCGTAACCCTCACCATGGAAAAATGATGCAGCTAAATTTCGACCCAAATCCAACTGTCTTGTAGCTATTGTCTATGCGACAACAACATACTGGTTCGCGTACTATTCAAACCATCGTTTCTTGTTGGCTTCGCCATCATCAAGACTCAAAAAAGACAAATGAAGGCGTGATTCGGAGTTTCGATCAGGCTAGATCCGTGCAGATCTGGGGTGTTCAACATGCACAACAACAATGAAAAAGGGGAACAAGCGAGGAACTGAAGTCCTCTCGAGTCTGCTGGATTACGTGGCATATCTTTTGCTTGCAACAAAATGCACGCTGATGATGGAAGCACTTGGGAAAGTAAACGGAAAAGGCAGATTCTAAAGATTATTGTACAAACTGCAGAGTAAGTGGTAACTGTGGAGGGTCGGTGGTGCAAAGTTCATCAGAATGGTGTCTAGTTGGATAGATGTAATACATTTGGCGACGAAGCAGTGTGTAACTCTCAAACTCAGTTTACGTACCAAGCTGATGTGGGGGAGGGGAGAGGAGGACAAGAAATTACGGAACCCTCAAACCAGTCAAGAAGCTTATGGCGATGTATAAAAACGTTATAGTAATGATACAAACACAGAACAAATCACTTGATGCCAAAAATGCAGCTAAAAGGGTCAAACTATGAACAGTTGGAGTAGGAAGTGTTTGATGTATATCAGTGCACAGTGTTTGCTCTTTGAACATCTTTTTTGTCCGTCGACGGGAAGTTCGTCGTAGAATTTCATAAAGCTAAGTGATGTCGGTGGCGAGCGAGTTTTCATTCACTGTCTCAGAGCCATTGAAGGCAAACTGCACGGGGAAGAGAAGCAGGATAGAGAGAGGGAGAAGATAACTTTCGTAGGAAGAGGCATTCTGGAGATTGTAACCAGCGAGCAATGTTTTTTCTCATTTTAAAGGAAGTTTTGTGTTCCCCACTAGCAGGCTGAAGGCAAGGAAGTCATAGGTTCCATATATTACTTACTCTGTGCAAGCAAAGCGACCCATAGTGAACCACGTGGAAACTCCGTGGGTATGCAGCATCTTCACTGGAGACTCACCATTATTACGCATATTACGAAGCTTAAGGAACTAGTGATTTCGGTCCGAGCACTACCGAGAAAGCTTCAATCTTGTGGAACTAGTGATTTCGGTCCGAGCACTACCCTTCAACTGTGGATAGTTGATCAACTGTGCGGTTACCTAGCAATCCAACAGGACATAGGGCCGCTCAGCCTTCAGCTATTCGGTTCACGTAACACGACCTGGTTCTGGCACCCCGGGGAAAGGCCCACTTCACTGTAATACTTCATAAGAGTAAGGCAACAAGGTTGCATATTCGTAATGGTTTAAACCAATGTTCTACTTTTACGCTACCTAAAACATTTTTGGTTGCAACCAAATTGCCCAGTTCAGAAAACAAACTAACGACCCATTCTGAGATTCGCCAACACAGTCTGAATGAACAATAGGACACGTTAGCAATGTTATAAGATTAAACATGCAGTTAGATCAAGGCGAAAGATCTTNTGTAGGGAAATAAACTCATTTGCATACCAGTTTGTCTTTCACGAGAGATCAACTGAATTTCTCGTTTATGATGTCTTTTTTCACGTAAAGGTGCTGCACAAAGGCCATCTCGTGTTCCATTTGGTACGATACACCATCATCACAAGATACTGCATAAACTTGACACACTATTTATAAGGTTGTTGTCGAAGTCTTCATCAGCCTTATGAGTAGCATGTGAGGCCTTGAAATGTGTTGTACGTCTGCCGGATTTAATAGCTAAGAGCTAATGGTAGAATAGCTGGAAGACAGTTAGAACCATTTTGTTATCCTAATACTTCCTCCGCATGCCGGTATTTCAGTTATACTAAACGAAATGCACCATTTAGTTCCTTCACATACGTTCTGCCATCATTACTAGATAAGACTAGGCAAACGGTGAACGACAAATGTAAAAAACGACATCGAATCAGTAGCAGCAAGTAACGGGTGACTCAAACATTTGATCAGTCACAACAATAAAAAATCTGTTGTTTGGTGTAGGTGTTTCTCTCGAACCCTTAGAGATTGATCGTGTTACAGATTATTCCAGAGGTTGAGAACAGGTTGTCATAAGCGAGGCACATCACATAAATCTTTATTGAAACGGAAAAAATTAGATGAGACGACAGGAAGATGGTAATAAGACTATACTTGTTGCCAGCACAGGACAATACAAGTGCTGATGAGAAGTACCATGTAGGGTTCGCATACAACTTATGAGTCCTTATGAGTCGTGATAACATACTCAGCGCTGATACTGAAAATTTCCGACTCACAGGACCGGCACTTTTGGTACTATGTTCCACAGTATTATCACCAAAAGGATATCTTAATCTAATAAATGTGGAAATCGAACTATGAACTGAGCAGCTAGTGCCTTCAATTTAGAGGGTGGAGAGAGTTAGGCAATGTACTCCATGGGTCCGTCTCCACATGACGAAATACCGAGCTGAAGTTATCAAGGGGATCTTAAGAAGCCTTCATCTAAAAACATTCTCAGAAGAAAATGATTCGCCGATTCTGCATGTCGTCAGTAAAGCAGAAGGTAGCCTAAGACAGACTATTTTGCGCAGCGAAGTTTTTGTCAAATCAAACGAACTTCATCTCCAACACAAACACATATGGAAACACTGTACGAAAAATTGGAGTTCCATTCGTGACCTTGAGTTCATTACAACTGTCACACAAATCGGAGTTGATTGAGTGCCAGAATGTAACAAGTTGTGGTCATTTTGTGGTTGAATGATGCTCATCACTGTCTAGATGTCTGCTGCGACAGCGGGAGGATTCTGAAGATGGTTTCCTCCAAGTTACTGTTTGTCTTTTGCCATGAACATCAAGTTCCTTTCAAACCTAATAGGACAACCGAAAGATTACGGACACATTTTCTTACCCTAAAACACAAGAGGTATCAGAAAACAGCAGTGTGAATGTTCAAGAGTGTAGAAATGCATCCCTCAAAGATGGATAGGGTGTCAATCAGTTGGCACAACTTGCAAAAGTACGTAATCAATCTAGTGTTACTCGGTGTATTTTGTGGGACACTGGTAAGTGAGTTATATATTGGTCGCGGCCGCTTTGTATTCGTGTATAATCTTACAGTGATAAGGTAAGATTTTTTTATATAGATGTTTGATCATTGTCCTCTTTGTGCGGAACCTCCGATGTTCGATGTTCTGTTGTTCCACTGGTTGTAGTGACACGCTGCGGCTAGACTACGTGTATCCAAAAATGGACACGAATGGGACACTCAGTATATTTAGCCATAGCAAAAACTCAGTTGAAGAAGGCGATTTCAATTGGATTTCGTCACAAATGTGACGAAAAACGGCAAGCGAAATAATGACTTATCAGAAACGGAGATCGTTCTGTGATACGACACTACTTATAAAGTCTTGGACAGCTCACCACCTGTTTTGCGCTTTTCAGGTTCAGCCAAACTCCATCTTAATTTGCCAGTGAGTATTTTTCTGCGCATCCCGGCGAACCCGGTACGAAATAAGATTGATACAGTTTTTTGGACTTGGCCTACTTGATAAGCACCAAGAATGACGAGACCAGACATGGGCTATCGGAGAGTACCAGCAACCTCATATACTTCCATATCTCGAAAATTGTAAAACCGGTTGTTATCCAATCGGGTCCCCCTTCATAATAATCTAAATACGCCAACGAGTGATTTGCTGCACAGGGTGTGCTGTTCTGTTGGTTTGGACCCAAGATTTCACTTGTGGCAAAACACGAAATGCCTGCGTTTTTAGATACAGGGAGCTAGAAGAGGACCAGCTTTATCTGTTTTGATCACATAGTGAAAGAATTTAGGCTTGTCCCCCGCATTTTATCTTACCCGTTTTTCGTCCGCAAGACAAAGAAATTTGTGCTCCTGAAACACTTCTTATGAAAAATCGCAGACAACTGTTTCAGTACTGTGTCTGAAATGCACTATCCTACAAATTCCAAATAAGTTGGATGCACGTTACTTCCACTTTCATTCTTGACTGACCAAAGCAAAACGTTTTGTACACCGAAAGAGCAAATTGCAATCGACCCTAAACAGACACACTCAGGCTCACAAACTAGACGTATTTCGTGCGGGAGAAAATGCTTGGGACAACCATAACCGCCACAACAACAATGATAACAGCAACGACGGCGAGTGTTGCAAGGAGTATAAGGTAGACAACAGTAGTCTGTCAGCAAAAGTTATAATTATTCTGCTGTGAGTGGGTCAGTGAGCAGTGAGTGAACAGACGTTTCAAAGTTGGTCACTATCTAGTTGGTTCTCCACAATGTAGATGTGCGTTAGCGCGTGCCTCCGACAGTGATATTCTCCCGGATTGCACACGTGCAGTTCGAAGTGAAGAGTGAGAATTCACCGCCTATGCACGATTTCTCTATCATAAGACCGGAAGTGGATGGTGGCGAAACTGCAATGTTAGAAACGTTAGGAGTGGTGGTGGTGCTGATGCTGGTGGTGGTCTGCTTGCTTGGCCGATTCGGAATCAGTTGGATGGATGGATAGATGGATAGATAGATAGGTAGATAGGCGGCTGGTTGCAACCGTAGAATAAACATAAAAACAACGCAACTTGTCCCGAGGCTGGTGAGGAATCACTGAGGCTGTTGAGAGTTGTCACAAATAGCCTCAGTGATACAGGTGTGTGTGTGTGTGTGTGTGCGCGCGCGCAAGCGAACACATCTCAAGTAAGCATCCGATGCATCAAAATTCTCTAATCTCAGCCCACGTATGAAGCACATGTGAGCAGTTAACACATCGTGACATGCATGCGCACAAAGAGATGAATAGTTCGAATACCCGAAGCGTATGCCTCATGGAAAGGTGGTGGTGGTGATGATGATGGTGAGGAGGGGTAGGAGTTTCAGGCAGAAGCCAACACCGAAACTAACGGACCAAGTCCGGAAGTGAGCTGAGAATGAAAGATGGAAAAAGCAAGCCCCAATGACAGCCGAAGTGGGACTAGTATTACCAGATTTCGTGCATTATGGAGGGACTGAGATATGTAATCGAGCGGTTCTAACATGGCATTGTGGGTATGTGAGTGTTCTTTAGAGTTTCTCGACTGACATATTTTAACCCGGTTTGGGAAATGTGGATAACGGAACAATATTCCATTGGATTTAGCCTTTTGCCCAGACACGGGACTGGCGTACAAGTGTGCTAAATCGATGTGTGCAGGAGCTATTCAGCTTTTTCCATAACCGGATGTAAACTGATCATAACTTTTCAGGCTTTGGTTAGTTTAATGGGAAACGAATTTCATTTTTTGTTCCAAACATGAATGAACCGACTTCTGTTTTTGGCTCCGTTTCTACATTCAAAGAATACTTCCGTTTGGCCAGTTACAATAATTGGCAGGTTGAACTGGTGTTAACGGGTGACCCAAATCGATTCCAGCTGAACCATTCGTATATGATTTTCTTCAACTGATTGTGCTACACAAAGGTCACCTTTTGTTTTAGTTGGTACGATATTCTAGATATCATGCTGGTACGATATTCTAGATATCTCATTACATCCTCTCAGTATAACGCACGAATTCCAAGGTTAATGAAAACGTTCCGACAGCCCACTACCGGTTTCACCCTTCTTGGAGCACAGTAGACAGCTGAATTCCGCGAGTTTCCCCAATCCTTTGGTCCGACTTGAACTCCAAATTGTGTACAACAGGTTTTCAGTTGAGTCCTCCCGTTACTACTGACTTAGTTTGCGAATTGGTGTGCTTTGCCGGTTGTCTACGATT